TCATCGGCAGCTGTGCCCCGCTGCTCGGGGACGCTGTGGCTCTCAGCGTGAGTGGGAAGGACAGGTGGGGCCAGCCTGGGTCTGCTGCCCCTGGTCCTGCTGCGTCCTGGCCGGGGTAGGGGTCCTACCTCCTGTCTCATGCAAGCACTGTATTTTAAACTCCAGGTTGATTAGTTCTTCATTTGGGATCTTAAGGAGAAAAAAAAAAAAAAAAAACTCTTATTTTTTCACCTTCTTTTGTGAGGAATTTACATGCAAAAGATGCCTTTTGTGAAAATGACTTGGCCTTGGGGGAAGTTATTTAAAGAATTCATCCTTGGAGAGCAGAACTTTTTTTTTTTTTTCTTATTTTCCTTTTTGAAGAAAGGAACTAGAAGGCCATTATTTTTCAAGGATGCTGGATTTCTGCAGCTGCCGCAGAGTTCACCTGGCTGGGCACTCTTCCGTCCACGTGGAAACCCTCATGTCCAGTGGACAAGGCTGTTTTTCTATCAGCGAACCCTTTGCTTCGGCGGAAGAAAAAAGGTGGTCAGAAAATAATTTTGGAGGGCCTGAGAATTTTTTTGGAGAGCACGGTGTTTGTAAGTGCATGTGCGTGCAAACTTGAAAATGTCACCTGGTGCCCAGCCGATGTGGCTCAGTGGACTGAGCAGTGTCCCGTGGACTGAGAAGTCCTGGTTCGATTCCCGATCAGGGTCCATGCCCGGATTGTGGGCTCGATCCTCAGTTCGGGGCATGCAGGAGGCAGCCGATGGATGTATCTCTCTCACATTGATGTTTTTAATTTCTCTCTCCTTTCTTCTCTCTGTAAAAACAGTCAATAAAAACATATATATATATATTTTATCCTCACCCGAGGACATTTTTCCATTTTTTGTTCAGATAGAGCGGGAGGGAGAGATAGGAAAAGAGAGAGAGAGAAACATCCATGTGAAGGGACACATTGAGTGGCTGCCACCCGCACGACCAACGAGGACCGGGGACAAACTGCAACCGAGGTACGTGCCCTTAGCGGGAACTGAACCCGGGTCTCTCTGTACCGCAGGCCGACGCTCCAACCGCTGAGCCAAACCGGCCAGGGCAATAAAAACATATTTTTAAAAAATCTTACCTGGAAACCACTGCTGGCTCCCGGGGGCTCAGGAGTCTCCCTCCAGGACTTCCCCGAAGTTGACTCTGCCAGGCAGTGTCCCCAGGCCCTTGGCTGTGCAGGATCAGGTTGGGAGAAGCCTGTGGCCGGCGCTGGAACTTGCATTTCCCTCACGGGGCAGCCTGCGGATCGATTCTGTTGAGCCTGACTCTGAGGTTGGCCAACACCCTGCAGGTGCAAACAGGTGTCCCAGGAAGAGCTCCAGGCTGGGGAGAGAAAGGGGGGAGGTGCATTCCAGGACCAGGGAGCTGGGGGCCGGGGGCTGGGGGGCTGGGGCTTGGACCTCTCAGGGGGCAGATAACCAGCCTACAGGAAATGGCGACTGTTCTGTTCAGGGCACCTTGCCGGAAGGACATCACCATCAGGCCAGGTGAATAGCGAGTCCCCAGTTCCCAGCCTGAAGGTATTTTCATGACACCCAGGACTGTTTATTTAAGGGAAGTCAATGACAAAAGACACACTCGGACATACAGTTGAAACTGCGAGTCTTTCTGCTTCTCCTGCCGTGGCCGGCGTGGCCCGGCCCCAAGGAAGGGCTGGCGTGGCAGTGAGGTCTGTGTGCAGAAAGCCCCCCCGTGGCCACAGTCGGTCTCCCCCGAGGACACAGACGGTCTGCTTCTCATCTTAATGGAAAACACTCGCGCTTTGTTCTTCCACCTCGTGTGCAAGACCGTTACCATTTCATGGTTGAAGTCGCTGGTTTCGTGCACGGTCCTGTTTTATGTTCTATCATGTTCCTCGTGACGAAAGGGCTCCCCCTCGGGAATGTCGGGCGGTCTGCTGGGATGTGGAGCGAGAGTTGCAGGCCACCCCCCCCCCCCCACTCCCTCGAAGATGCTGTTTTCGTATAATTTCCTGTTGCGTGGTTGAGATGGTCTTAGAGAAATTCAGTGCCCACTGAAAGATTGATCAGAGACGGTAAGTGGATGGGGGAGCCCCTACACGAGGGTCTGGGTTGGAAAGAGAGCTTGAGAAGTCAGAATTCTGTAGGATGTGTCCACGCCTCCAGGTTCACTTTTTGGTCCTGGGACCATGCAGAGTTTTCAAACAAGTCTTTAGACCCTGATAGTTAACAGCAAGGAGAGTCACGTAATGATAAGGAAGGGTGACTGGCCGCACGATCGGGGTGTGTGATTATCTCCCCGGACCCGGATTAGAGGCTGAGCACATGTGTCTTAGGTGCTCCCTGCATCCACCCCCAGTGGAATAATTACCCCTTGTTTCATAGACAAGGAAACGCGCCCTCGGTCACCCTGGCGGTCTGTGGGCAGATTCTAAACCCTCTACTCTGCCCCAAACCACAGCCCTGTTTTCCATTCTTGTCGTCTGCTGCCACCCCTCTGGGGACCTCAGGGTGAAGAGCTCCCATCCCCCGCGCTCGTGCTTGGCACCCCGGGCTGACTGGCATAGCCACCCAGATTCCTGCCAGTGTGGGACCCCCCGCCCCACACCAGAAGGGACTCCTCAGCCCAAGACTTACGAAAGGTCTATCTCAGGGAACTGGGTGCCCATCCGAGCCTGTGCCTCAAGGTGAGAACAAGGGACAGGTGACCGTCCCCTGCCCACAAGTGCATTCTCTGCACCACTCCCAACGGCACGGAGGACTTCGGAGAGCATTGCCCTTCTCCTTCCCACAAGAGTGCTACAGAGAACGTCCGGTTCTGGAGTCCCCCCGTGGTCCAGGGTTCTGGCTGCCCGCTTGTGCCCTGCGGGGCACACTCCTGTATTAGACCCCGCAGGCTGTGCGTGGGAGACGTTTGCTTCTGGCTTCACTGACACTAACAGAGTGTCTTCCCGTCAACTCTCTAAGCGTGTTGGACACTGAGCTCCTAGGTCTTTGTCTGCTCGGGCTGAGGCCTCCGCCCCTTGTCTCCAAGTGCCCGGTGCCCTTGAGCAGCTGCTCCCCCTTTCCTCCGCCCGTCCTCTGCCCTGGCACAGAGTCACCTGCGGTCCCTCTGGAACAGCACTGCAGGCTCGGAGTAGCCAGGACCCTCTCCTGCACGGGCAGTAGCCGCTCGGAGACAGCTTCCGGCTGATGGACCCACATCACCTGTTTCGTGATCTACGCCTTGTGTTCCCCTCGTAAATGCCTGCACACTCCACTGCTTTTCAACGGAAGGAATATCTGTTGCACTTAGAGCTTGATAATTCCTAACGCAGACTTTCAAAGATGTTTCAAGTGCAAAGCTGGTAGCTACAATAACATGTTACGTACCGGTTCAGCATTTTCGGTAATCCCCAAACTCTTAGCATGAATAGTAACGTTGTTATTCTGAAAGTACAACATTTAGAATGTCCTTTGTTTCTTCCTTGCCTTTTTTCTCTTTCTCCAAAAAAACAAACAAACTGGGTTATCTTACATAAATACACGGGCTGTTCTTTCTTTAAGGGATAATTGCGGTAAAGGGAAAATAAATGTAAGAGAAATCTTAGGAAGCCAGAGACTGAAAATCGACCTCGTCAGCACCAACTCCAGCAACGTGTTGGCAAGAGAAACTGCTGGGCAGGACGTGGGGATGATCCCCAGTGCTGGGGACAATCGGAGAAGGTCTGGGACCTCCTGGGCTGAGGTCTGTTCTCATCCGTGGGGTGAGGGCTGGCGCTCTCGTTCCCAGAGCAGCTGGAGACAGCTGGCCGCTGAGCCAAGCTTGGACGGGTGCCCACCCCGCCTGTGCGTGGGCCTCTCTGGTGAGGTCTGACGTTGGCAGACATCTGAGCAGGGTCCCCGTCGCCGATGCTGCACCGTAGAGCTGCGCTCTGTCTACCTGGTCAAGTCCTACGTCACGCAGTAGCCAAGTCAGGTCATTGTGCTCAACACGGGGTCCTTTTCTGCAGTTGTCTGCGGTCCCTCCCCACCCTCAAGGTCAAGTTCACATGGCTGGAAGGCGGACTCATACACGGGGCCATGCAGATGTGGGGAGCTGCAGCGGGGGGAGGGGCCCTGGGAACTAAGTCTGATTTCAGCTCTTCCCTGGGAGATGGGGTTCCACGCAGCCACCACCCTGCGTGCCAGGGCCGGGCCGTGAACGGAAACAGTGCGACCGTCATCGTGAAAACCCTTGGCAGCCACAGGGCACCTGACCGCTGCGTCGTACCTGTTACTTAGGGTTCTGGGCATGTCAGCCCCACAACATTTCACCCTGCAGAACGTTCATTCGCTCTCCAAGGCCAGCAGGGAGGGCGGGGCAGGTGTTAGGAGTCCTGCTTTCTCTTCTTGGGAGACGGATGCCCCGCGGGGCATTTCGAGGTTTAAATGTCCCGGAAGGACCTGCTGTCCTGATCTGCGAGCGATGGTGACATTGCTCAGCTAGTTGAAACTTACATGTGAAACTCACCGTCTCCCAGAGAGACAATGAATAGGTCGTTTAGGCCAGGTCCACATTGCCGTGCGCTAACCGCTGAGCAAGACCACCCAGGGCAGTGTTTACGGCTCTTCTTTCATGACCCTCAGAATCGCCACGGGGATGCCAGCCTCCGGGGACTGTCCCGTCCGTGTCTCCCGGGTCTGTTTCCTTGGTCCCAGTTGTCAGCAGTGGGCGTGGCCCTCCCAGAAAGCCTTGCTAATTGTGTCCCTGACCCGAGGCACTCTCTGATCCCGCTGGGCCTGGGCTTCTCCCTCCACAGACCTCGTGCCGCTCCCCACCTGCCTCTTCGCGCTGAGTCCCATCCACCTGCTCAGCTGTGACGGTGGACACGCGAGAGCCGTGCCATCCAGCCTCCTGGCCCTCGCTCTGCCCCGTCAGCCAAGCCCCAGGAGCAGGGACCCGTGGTGCAGACCCACCACGGTCACAGGGCGCGCGGTGGAAGTCACGGCCCCAAGGCCTGCGCTCACGTCCTCCTTGTTTTCTAGAGAAGAAGAAGCCGAGGAAGGGCAAGCCCTCTCGGGACGGGCGGGAGCGGAGGAACGCCATCCGGCTCACCAGCGAGCACACGGTGGAGACCCTGGTGGTGGCCGACGCGGACATGGTGCAGTACCACGGGGCCGAGGCCGCCCAGAGGTTCATCCTCACCGTCATGAACATGGTGAGTCTGCAGCGGGGTCCCGGCCCCGGTGGGCTGTCCTCGGCCGAGCTCCGGGCGTGGTGCCGTGTCCTCGTCTCCTCCACGGTGTGAGCTCCGGGCAGCGAGCACCGCGGGGGGCTGGTGGGTGTCTCTGTGCCGGAGGGCCTGCCGCCGACCTGCATGCTGCTCAGTGGGTGGGCGCCGCCCCATCCTTTCCAGAGCCTCGTATGTGGGACCCTCCTGTGGGATCACAGCTGAGCGAGCTCTGAAGGGGTCCGGTCTAGTAGGAGAAGCCAAGGTGAAGCGTCAGTGCAAAGCAGCTTCCCTGTGCGGCGAGGCTGGGTGGGCAGTGATGACCCTCATGAGTGGAGTCCTGCAGCTGCGTCCTTTGTGACTGGCTTGTTTCCCTGAGCACAGCGTCCCCAAGGTCCCTCCACGCTGTAGCAGGGGTCAGGCTCCTTCCTTCCTCGGGCTGAAGGGTCGTCCACGGACGGAGCACATGGTGTTGACCCGTGTGTCCATCGCCGGCACCGGGGACTCCCATGTTTGGGCTCCCGTGAGCCCGGGTGTGCGGATGTCGGCCTGAGTCCCTGCTCTGGGCATCTTGTAGGTGAACATCCAGAAATGGAATTGCTGTTTTTAAAACGTAATGGTGCGTGTCCCTGGTCTCTGAGTATTTCTCTTTCCTTTGCTGGAACCCGGGTCCTGCTGGTGGCTGGGTAATGATGAGCTGTCGCTCTCCGGTCCGCCCCGAGGAAGCCTGGGAGGCGGCCGGGGGCCTGGCCCCGCCCCAGACTCTCCCATCTGCGGATGATTTCATCTCATTTATTTTTTAATTGTTGAGGGCAGGAGGGCAATGCATAAGCCTTCGCTACAGCCACTAGAGTAGTCGTAAGTCATAGCTCCTCTTCCGACATTTCTTTTATCATTTGTCATCAGGACAGGGGCAGGGAGGAGGGTGGACGTGGGAACCTTGCCCTCCCAGCCTCCACGGGCCCTGAGGACGAGGCCAGGGGCTGAGCGGTGGCAATGCTCGGCGTCCGTTCCACTGAGCTGTGCTTGTGTAAGTCGTTGGAAGCTCCAGGCCCAGGGCCAAGCACACTAAGCCGGGATGGAGATGTCTCCTGAAGGGGCCTATCAAACAGGAGCGCGGCCGCGGGGGTGGCACGCGTGTCCTCACCCTTCGCCCTCTGGTCCAGGGCCCCGGGGCTCCTTGGCGGGTCTGAGCCAGCTCGTGACTGAAAGCAGAGGCCTCACCCGCTCACACGTGCACCCCTGGGGGCTGGTCCTGGCGCGCTCGCCACGGGGCACCGTTCTGCACGTTGAAAAACAGGGTCCATTCAGACCTTCCCCTTGTTTTCAACAAGACCGCCTGTCACCCCCAAGTCCAATCCCTCACACTTGAGTTTTGCAAACCCAAAGGACTGAGTCCTGCCTGTGGCTGTTTTGGGAAAGGGGTTGCTTTTCGTTAGCAGGTGAGATCCTCTCTCAGGCGGAGGAGGGGAACGGATCAGACAAGGCCCCAGGTGCAGCAGGCAGGAGGGAGGGGCCGCCAGCCCTTTCCTGTCCCCTCAGTGTTTCCTGGGCCCCCGGGTCGGAAGTGGTTCTCCTTAGCTTCCCGGGATCTAGAGGGAAGTCTCGGGGGTAGTTGCCACCTTCATTCCGATGAATATCTCTCCAGGCGGCGGGAAGTAGCATCATCGGTGCCGACGTCCAGGCCTCCCCTGCTCCCCACCTCCCACTTGGGTCACTGTGGGCAGAGGCCACTCCCTCATGGGTGCTGCTCTGACCCTGAGCCTGAACCCTGTGGCAAGCCGGGGGGCTTTTGGGGCCTTGGTGGGTGACACGTGTCCCCAGCTGGGAGACCTTGGTGTCCAGTGCTTGCTCCCAGTTTTCGTAGCATCTCATGCTCGTGAGGTAGGAGGTCAGTGTGGCTCAGTGGCTGGTGCTTGAGGTGGGGACGAAGAGGATGTCTGTGACGAACCGGCCCCCCACATGGCAAGGGTGACTTCGTGTCAGTTCCTCTGCGCGCCGGAAGAAGGAAGTGAAGGCTGGGGGCAGGGACGGGGCCAGGGCGCCGAGCCTGTGACTTCACAGCAGGTGACCACCCGAACCCAGGGCTGGTCAGAGAACAGAGAGCCCAGAAATAAACCCTGACTTACCTGGTCTGGTGGTTTTCAACAAGGGGCCAAGGCCACTCAGTGGGGACGTGCCTGTCTTTCCAACAAATGGTGCTGGAAGAAATACCCACGCGCAAAAGAATGAAGTGGGACCCGTGCCCAGTGCCGGCAAAAATGAACTCAAAATACATCAAGGACCTGAGCATGAGAGCTAAAACTAGAAAACCCGTAGGGGGGAAGCTTCATGACATTGCATTTGCCCCCGAGCTCTTGGATGTGACGTCAGAGGCACGGCTGACAAGAGCAGAACAGATTGGACTTACATTTTAAAAGCTTTTGTGGCCCTGGCCAGTTTGGCTCAGCGGTTAGAGTGTCGGCCTGCGGTCCAGAGAGACCCGGGTTCGGTTCCCGCTAAGGGCATGTACCTCGGTTGCAGTTTGTCCCCGGCCCTGGTTGGTCGTGCGGGTGGCAGCCACTCGATGTGTCCCTTTCACGTCGATGTTTCTCTCTCTCTCTCTCTCCCTCCCACTCTATCTGAACAAAAAATGGAAAAATGTTCTCAGGTAAGGATTAAAATAAATAAATAAATATATAAATAAATATATAAAAGCTTTTGTGCCTGAAAAGCTACAACCAGCAGGGTTAAAGGGGAGAAAATACTCATAAATTACATATCTAATAATATCCAGACTATGTAGAGAACAAACTCAATAACAGCAACACATAAACCTGATTTAAAAATGGACTTGAGCCCTGGCCGGTTTGGCTTAGCAGCTGGAATGTTGGCCCACGGACCCAAGGGTGGTGGGTTCGATTCTGGTCAAGGGCATGTACCTCGGTTGTGGTTTGATCCCTGGTCCCGGTTGGGGTCATGTAGGAGGCAGCCAATCGACGTGTCTCTCACATCGATATTTCTCGCTCGCTCTCCCTCCCACCCTCCCATTCTTTCTGAAAAAAGAAAAAAGAAAAGAAAACAATGGAAATATATCTCAGGTGAGGATTAAAAGCAAAAGGACTTGAATAGACATTTCCCCAAAGAAGATGTACAAATGGCCAATGAAAGCCCATGGAAAGATGTTTAATGTGACTAATCATTAGGGAAACAAATCAAACCACAATGAGATGCCCTTACACTCAGCAGTATTTTAAAAGAAAGAACGCCCTAAAATGACAAGTGTCGGCGAATATGTACAAATTTTATAAACTAGGGACACAGTGTCCTCTAAGGAGCCAGCCCTGGGGAAGGGGGGCCGGGCCAGCCTCGCAGGCTGGTGCCCCAGGGCATGGGGCCTGGGCTTCCCTGCCCTGCATTGGGCAGCAGGGGGTCACATGCACAGATCTGAAGATTCCCTCCTGGCCCTGGCCAGTTTGGCTCAGCGGTTAGAGTGTCAGCCTACAGACCAGAGATTCCCGGGTTCGGTTTCTGCTAAGGGCACGTACCTCTGTAGCAGTTTATCCCCGGCCCCGGTTGGGGCCGTGTGGGTGGCAGCCACTCGATGTGTCTCTCTCACATCGATGTTTCTCTCTCTCTCTTCCTCCCTCTCTCCCTCCTGCTCTATCTGAAGATAAATGCAAAAAATGTCCTTGGATGAGGATAAAAAAAAAATGATTCCCTCCTCACCCTGGCTAATGTGCCCAGTGGTTAGAGCATCGGCTCGCACACCAAAGGGTCACAGGTTCGATTCCCTGTCAAGGGCATGTACCTGGGTTGCAGCAGCTTTGATCCCTGTCCCTGGTCTGGGTGCATGTGTGAGGCAACCGATTGATGTGTCTCTCACATCGATATGTCTCTTTTTCTCCCTCTCCCATCCTCCCTCCCTCCCTTCCACTCTCTCAAAAATTCAATGGAAAAAATATCCTTGGGTGAGGATTAACAAAAAAATAAAATAAAATAAAAATAAAAGGTCCCTCCTCCTGGCTCTTATCCGGGGAGGTGGAGTCCTGCTCCATGCCTCCCGCGAACCCGTCACCTGCCCAGGTGCAGGCAGAGGAGAAGCCCGGTGAGCCCGCGTGGTCCCCCATTGGGCAGGGAGCCGCAGGGCGGGCTGCTGTGGCCCGGCTTTGGACGATTTTCCAAACCTTCTGTGGTGTCTTTTTCCATGCGTAACTTGATTTTCCTCTGGTTGGGGGTGGTGGTGACCCAGGAGCCGGGATATTTTAAAGAACAAATTGTAGACGGGGACTGGAGGTGCTGACACCAGAAACCTGGGTCTGGGCAGCCCAGCTGGAAAATGGGGCCACTTGACAGAGCTTTGGTTGTTTTTAGCTTCCTTAACAACCACCGGGTGGAGTGAAACCCTGAGCCGTTCCAGGCCGGCTCTGTGTGGAGGGAAAATGACATCAGTTGTGCTCAATTACCATGCGAAGCAGACGCGCAGCCTGGTGACCAGAGGGAACAGTGGGAGTTAGAACACGGGCTGGTGCTCAGCCCCCGCAGCCGCCACGGGAAGCCGCTGGGGGGCTTGTGACGCGCAGGCGGTGGGGCCCACCCCAGGGTCTCTGACCTGTGGGCCTGGCTCGGGCTCCAGGCCATGTTGGGCTGCTGCTCCAGGGACCCCACTCAGAGGCTCTGTGCTGGGGTACACATCCCCGGCGGTCGGTGTGGGGTCTGCCGGGCGCCCTGTGCTGCAGCCCCGTCCGCCCCTGGGGGGCCCTGAGTCACCAAGGTCGGTGGTGCTTTTGTGAAAACCCCTCTTGACCGTGACCAGCTCCTCCCCAGAGGCCCCTGTCACCTGCTCCTTCGCTGCTCCCTGTCTGCCCCTCCCGGACCATGTCCCCGGTCGCCCGGCCAGCAGAGCCGCAGTGTGCTGCTGGAAGTGACTCTGCCCAGCTCGGCCCCTGGGCTGCCAAGGAAATGTGGCGCATGCAGCCAGGGCTGGACGCCGGAGACAGATTTCCAGACGATTGGCCGCACTGTTCCTGCCCAACCAGGTGTCTCCCTAAACATCAGATGGTCACTGCCTCCAAGACTTCTCCTGAGCATGAATTTCCATGGGAAAAGAGTCGGGAGGCTTGGTTACATGTCTGCTGCCTCCTGCTCTCTGCGTTGTGGCTGTTGTCCGGTCTGCGTCTGGCTGACCTGGCTGGTCGCTGGCTGGTCGCTGGCTGCCAGGGAGGTCCTGCGCGCCCGCCCTGCGCCCTGCTGAGCTAGGCAGGACGTGGTGCGGCTCACGTCAGGTGACGTGCCTGCTCTCCCGGGAGTGACCCCTCGAGGGGAAACGCCTCCCTACAGCCTTCAGACAAGTGCTGTTTCGAGCATGAAGCTTATTTTTTTCCTGATTCATTGAAAAGTTTTAATTTGGTCAACCACGCATGCAATTTACCACCTTAGTCAGTTTCCAGTGTAGGGTTCGGTTTGGATGAGCCTGTGCACATTGTGGTGTAAACCCCATGAGAGCTTTATCATCTCGGGGAGCATCTCTGCTCATCAGACAGCAGCTCCTCATCCCTCCTCCCTCCCAGCCTTGAGCATGAAGCTTTTTCTCCCCTTCAGCGCACATTGTGTGTGTGTGTGTGTGTATGTGTGTGTGCATGCATATGTGTATTTGTGCATGTGTGTATGTGTGCACATGCATGTGTGTGCACTGTGTATGTGTGCATGTATTTGTGCATGCGTATTTGTGTGCACATGTGTGTATGTGTACACTTGTGAGCATGCATGCACACGTGTGTATGCGTGTATTTGTACACGGTGAGCATGCATGTGCTCATGTGTGTACACGTGTGGGCATGCATGTGTATGTGTGCGCGCGTGTATTTGTGTGTGTGTGTGTGTGCGTGCGTGCATGCACATTTGTTCCAGGGAAGCTCTGAGCCTTTCAGGGGGTGCATGGAGTACGCAGAACCGTCACCAGCCCAGCGTGTGAAAGGGGGCGATTCGGACAAGGGGTTCGTTCCTGTAGTTGGTCCTTCCTGGGATATGCTGGTGCGGTGGAGGTTCTTTACACTCCTTTCTGGGCCCTGTCGGAACACCACGAGAATGCTCCCGCGTCGCCTCTGACCTCTGCAGCCTCCTCTCATGCCTTTGGCCGGTGTCGGCGCTACAGGCTGTTTGGACACCGACACCCCGTGTGGTTCACAGTTTCTCCCTCCCAGCTCCACGTTTCCATTCTGCCTCATTCTCATGTTTTGAATTGAGGTTTTCCAGTCTGGGCCCAATCCTCATGCTGAATATTTCTGGAAAAATTTGAATTACAGCCATTGGGTGGTTCTCAAAATATCAAAACATGGGAAAAGTTATATGGTGGGGTTTTTTTTTTTCTTCCTCCCCCTTCTTCACCCAGGTTCGGGGATGGGTAATTAAGACATGACCTCAGAATTGGCCCAGTGTAAAATATGACGGCTATTTTGTTATTGAGGAAAGGAAATTGAGGGAGGGGGGTAGTAAAAACAGAATAACTGAACATGTCCTGTTTTTTTCTCGTGGGAAAGAATATTAAATCACTCAGAGTTTTGTTTTTCAAAGGGTAAAATTCAAGCCATGACACGGCTAATTCCTTTGTCACAGACACTCAGACACCGCGCGCCTGGCTTCTGACATCTGTGTGCGGACGCGGTGCCCAGCTTCACTGGGCGTGAACGGACGGTGGCCACTCGGTCTGCTGTGGTCATCGTTTTACGTGGCTGCCATGTACCGATAGACACAGCACTGATGGGAGGAACTTTCTGGAACATTCTCCCTCTAGATTATGTCTACCAGAAAAAAACAAAATAAAATATTCCAAATCAAATTAAGTAAGTCAGAGAAAACGAAGAATGGATGCCATTTATGCGTGGGACCTAAAAATGATGCAGAAAGCAGACTGGCCGTTACCCAGGTCAGGGTGGGGGGTGGGCAAAATGGGTGAAGGGAGTCAAAAGGGATGAACTTCCGGCCATAAAATAAGTAAGACTGGGGATGTAAAGTATAGCATGATGACTATGGTTCATAATACTGTAGTTAATAATACTGTGACATGTGTTGACGTTGCTTACAGACTGGATCTTAAAAGCTCTCATTGCCCTGGCCGGTTTGGCTCAGCGGTTAGAGCGTCCGCCTGTGGTCCGGAGAGACCTGGGTTCGGTTCCCGCTAAGGGCATGTGCCTCGGTTGCAGTTTGTCCCCAGCCCTGGTTGGTCGTGCGGGTGGCAGCCACTCGATGTGTCCCTTTCACATCGATGTTTCCCTCTCTCTCTCTTCCTCTCTCTCCCTCCCACTCTATCTGTACAAAAAAAAAAAAAAAGCTCTCATCATGGGAAAAGAATTACAACCGTGTGAGGTGCTGGGTGACAGAGAACCTGATTGTGATAAACATTTCACAACAAATACATCAAATCAACGTGTTGTACACTTAGAACGAATAGTGTTACATGTCAGTTGTATCTCATAAAACTGAAAGCAAAGCCCGGCCGGTGTGGCTCAGTGGTTGAGCATGGACCCATGCACCAAGAGGTCGCGGGTTCGATTCCCAGTCAGGGCACATGCCCAGGTTGTGGGCCTGATCCCCAGTGGGGGGCGTGCAGGAGGTGGCCACTTGATGTTCTCTCTCATCGATGTTTCTATCTCTCTCTTCCTCCCTCTCCCTTCCTATATCTCTAAAACCAATAAAAAAAATTTTTTTTTAACTGAAAGAAAAAATAAAAACAGGGCATAATGAAACAAGTAAATGCATTTTCTAAAGAAAATACATATTTATGAGGGTCTCAATCCTGTTCCCACTATAGCCACCAGCTTCATCCCCTTCCCTGTTGTCCCCCCGTCCTCTGCCACCCCCCCCCCCGATTTCTCCATATTGTGGAAAAGGACTTGAGGGTCACAGTGACTGGAGATTGTCACACCCAATGGGCTTTCTCCCCTTGACACATCCATTATTTGAGGGTTCCTCTCTTCCCCCTTGAAACACTTTCCTTCGAGTTCTCAATATTGAAGTTCTAATGAAGTTCTACGAACAAGAAATGCAAAACTAGGAGGGACCTACCTTTCTCTGTCACTGTAACGTGATCTCAGTGATCGACGTTGGGTAGAATGAGGACTTCAGGGAGGGAAGAAGGAATGTGGTGGTCTCTCTGGCTGGATAATCCTGAGTTTGAATGGGAGTGGCCACTGACTGGCTGCAGGCCTGAGCAGGTAGCTCCATCTCAGTGGGCCAGGGTGGTAGATACCAACCTCGATGGGTGGTGGTGTGGGGTGGAGATCATACAGAGTGTCTCACGGCCGATGGCCACTGGCATAGACCCCTGCCTTCCCTTCAACCTCCGGCACGAAAGCCCAAGGCCATCCAACTAACATCAGCTTCTTTATTTCCAAAATAATCTGATCTGTACATTATTTTTTTTAATTGATTTGTTTGGAGAGAGAGAGAGAGAGAAACATTGATCTGCCGCCTTCTGCACGCCCCCTAGTGGGCATCAAGCCCAAATCCGGGCACATGCTCCGCCTGGAATTGAACGGGGACCTCAGTCCACAGGACAACGCCCAATCCACTGGGCCACACCGGCCGGGCTGTTCTATACATTATTTTTAACCAACTGATTTTCAGCTTAGCTTTGTGTGTATGCGCATCTCTGCCCATGGGTGTGAGTGATTCTGGAATTTTCTGTCATCTACATATTTCTTTTGGGGAATTCATATTTATGGGAGGCTTTTTCTTTTTTTTGGTCTCAGAAGGCCTTTTAAAATAATATCTGGATTATATTTTTCACATATGTATTTTTTGTTCCAATCAGACTTGATGAACCCTGAAATTTTAATTTCATGTAATGAGCCTTTCTTTAGGTCTCATTTTTGTACTAGAAGAGCACAAGCTCCTTTTTAAACATTAATTTTTTTTGTTGTTGTTATTAATCCTCACCCGAGGATATTTTCCCATTGATTTTTAGAGAGAGTGGAAGGGAGGGAGGGAGGGGGAGAGAGACCAACCTCGATGCGAGAGACACACTGATTGGTTGCCTCCTGCACAACCCTGACCAGGGCTGGGGATCAAACCTGCAACCCCAGGTAGGTGCCCTTGACCGGGAATTGAACCCACAACCCTTTGATCTGCAGGCCGAGGCCCTCACGGCTGAGTCACATTGGCCAGGGCTGAACATTAATTTTTAATTCACATCTTTTTTAACAAACAGAACTTACATTTTACGATTTGTTTATAAATAAATGAATTTATGTTTCATTCATTTATACTCTGTTTTAGATTTATAGAAAATTGGACACAGAGAGAGTTCCCGTACAGTGTCACCTGTCAGTAACATCTTATGTTAGCGTGTTTGTCGTAACTGATGGATCGGTGTTGACACGTTAGTAACTAACGTCCATGGCTTCTCAGATCCCCTTGGTTTTTACCTGACCTCTTCTCCGTTACAGGACCCCATCCAGGACCCCACTGTATTTCTAGGCATTTTTATATTTGCACCTTCATCTCTTCTCTCTCTCCAGGTGTACAATATGTTTCAACACCAGAGCCTTGGAATTAAAATCAACATTCAAGTGACCAAGCTCGTCCTGCTGCAGCAGCGTCCTGTAAGTCCCCGCGGTGCCCTGCACCCAGAAAATGTCACTGGCCTCGAAGCTGTCTAGTTGCCATCGGGGCTGAGGAGCCAGGGGGTTGTCTGCCTTCCCCACCCTCCTAGGCTTTGCGGATGGCAGCAGTGTGCCCGGGGCCAGGACCAGGGTGTCCAGGAGAGATGGACAGGCCCACCCCTGGGAGCTGTGGTGTGCGCGATCTGCTCAGAATCTCGAGGGCACCCTGAGCTGCAGGCCTGTGCACTCCCCTTCTCCACCTGCACCTCTCATCCATGCCCAGCGCCCTTCTGGAGCTCGGCCTGAGCTTAGCACAGACTTGGACGCACTCAGCATCATTCCCTGGGCGTTCGGTGGACTGCATCCCCCTGTGAGGCTCCTGCGTCCCCCTGTGAGGCTCCTGCGTCCCAGGCCGTGCGCATGACAGCCAAGGACCGTTATGTTCGGTTCGCCGCGAAGAACACTTCCTTTTTTTAAATAACGCCGTCTTCATTGAAATGTAGACGTAGACCCCTGATGCCGCCGTCTGGGCCCCTACACATACCGTCCAGCGTTAGATCCGTATTTGGGGGAGTGCGTGTTGAGTGAGACCCACTGAGCAGCTCTTTCCACCTGCACACCGTGGCCTGCGCATACGCTCTGGCCGCCCTGGGTCTTTGCTTCTCTAAATGCACCCCCTCGCCCCGATTTCTTGTAGGCCAAGTTGTCCGTTGGGCACCATGGAGAGCGGTCCCTGGAGAGTTTCTGCCACTGGCAGAATGAGGAGTATGGGGGTGCTCGGTACCTCGGCAACAATCAGGTCCCCGGCGGGAAGGACGACACGCCCCCCGTGGATGCCGCTGTGTTTGTGACCAGGTAAGGGGGGACTGGGCCCGCCCCTGACGATGCAAGAGGAGAGAGCCATTCGCTCTGGAGAGGGAAAAGGGCAGTTTGCTGGGAATCCAGACCTTTGGCCGCCTGTGAGCCTCGGTTTCCCCATCCGGCCAGTGGGGATACATGATAGTACCTGCCTCCGAGGTGTGAGGGTTCAGTGAGCTGGGAAGTACTTCTCGGAAGGGCACAGTGGGTATTAGCCAGTATTGCCGTTGTTACTATTTTCTAATCTAAAAGGACTGAAATCTAAGAGTGTTGCAGTGCCCAGGAAAATCCATTATGATACGGAACGGGAAGCGACCCAGGTGTCCGTCAGTGCACGAGTGGACGCACGAAAAGCCGTCATCTCTAAGATGGAAATGCCACTCGGCATTACAAAGGCAGGTGTTGTGACACCTGCTACAATATGGATGAACCTTGAAGACTCTGTACTGAGTGACGTAAGCCAGTCACAAGACGGGTGGTCCGTGATTCCACTTACGTGTGATGCCTGGCGTATTGGGATCCACAGAGACAAAGCAGCACGGGGTGGCCTAGGGAGGGGTCTGTTGTCGGGGCAGAGGTCCAGTGGTACAGGCTGAGAGGCATCGTGGACGCCGGGTGCACAGCCAGTCAGTGTGCTGGACTCGACGGACCCACGTACTCGAACGCGGCTCAGATGGTCCATTTCGTGTTCTAGCGAAGTAAAAGCGGTTGTAAGAATGTTCTTTTCTAACTGAGCACATTGCTGGGGCCCCGATTGCACTCTGGTGGGTCTGAGAGGGTGCTGGGGAGGGGAGTGACAGGCGGGCAGGGCCCAGGCCAAGGCCTCGGGGTCGCTGTGTGACCTGCCGCGTGCTGGGGAGCTGGCCTTCTCTTCCTCCGTTCAGTGCTGACACCTCGTGAGTACCTGAGCAGTCCCGATCCCCCTGCTACCGAGGGGCTGCGGACTGACCCGATCGGCCGGTCCCACCCTCCGTCCTCGCACGTGTTAAACCGAAAGACCTCCCAGCAGCACGGGGAGTGGGGGCTGGAAGCCAACTTGGCTGAGAAGCATTGTTTAATAATTAGAGGTTGAGAGCTGCAATTCCCTGGGCTGGGATAATAATGGGCTGATGTTTTCACACGGATACCGGGTGTGAAGCCGCTGCCGCTCCGGGGAAGGTGTTCTTTCCTCCCCGGGCGACCCCAGCCCAGGGCCACGCCGGGGACGGCGCCCTCGGGTCCCGGGACGGACACCGGCCCAGGTGCGGGTTTCTCCTCCTGTCGCCACCCCCACGCCCCGCCTGCTGGCCTGTGGCCGAGCCCGAGAGTGTGCGCTCCTGGACGCCCACCAAGCCTGCAGGCGGCCAGCCCTGGAGATGTGAACATGACATCATGTCCAGCAGGAGCTGCCGAGCCAGGAGCGGCAGGAGCTGGGGCAGGGAGAACCTCCGAGGGGACGAGTCTGGCTGCCTGGGGGCCACACAGGACGGTGGATCCAGGGGCTCCGGCACCTCACACAGCTGGATCTTTGCCGCCGTGTCTCTCTCAGGGAGCCGGGAAGGTGGGCCTTTCCCCCCACACCCAGTTCTGTGCTCTGGGGAGACCCCAGGAGCAAACAGTGCAGGGCTTGCCCCAAGCATGACCCCTGGGGATGCCTGCAGCCCAGCTGTTTGTCAGCCTTCCCTCCACATCACTCCACCCAGCTCCCAGGAACGACCTTCCTTCCGACCTTCGGACCACGGGCCTCCTGCAGGCTTCGCTCACGGGGAGACCTCCGTGCGAACCTGCTTTCCCGACGTGAAGGACAGACCAGGCCGCCTCGCCAGTGGGCTTGCAGGGCACTCCGAAAGTGGTCTGGAAACGTATGTCCACGGTTCACGACAGGGCCCAGTACTCATCACCCAGGTATCTGCCGGGCAGTCGGTTATGCCCAGGTCCAGCTACACAGCTGGCGGGGCTCAGTGCAGCATGAGAACGTGGGACCCCGTGTTCAGAAATTGTTAAGAATGTCAACAGCGGAGCATCGAGCCAGGTTCGGGGCTGCGGCTTCTGAGTGGGGGCCTGGACCACGGTCACACCCATGACGCCGGCCGGGCACGGGCTGCCGCTCGGTCATCTTTCTCTGGGGGAGCGGACGGTGGCCCCTGGACGGACTCAGGGACTGGAGATCAGCTTCTGGACCCTCGGTTTCTGTGTTTACCTGAGTTCCCCAAGTGAACCCCACAGCCTCCATCTGTGGGCCGTCGTGCGTTTGTGGCGGGAGCCGGCTCACCGGGAGGTGAAGCCGCCCCCCCAGGCCCCCTGCTGTTTTCTGAGAAAGGCGCTGGACCAGGAAGGACGGACAAGATGCCGACTTTTTGGCTGACCCTTCCCAGCCGGGCCTCTGGTTGAACGTGGTCCTCCTGGGCACACTGCACCTCCCTCCTCTTCCTCCAGGGGCATTGCGGGGTACACCTCTGGGGACCCGCGGTGACCTTCAGGGAGGCCGTGGGATGGCAGCCACGAGCCAGCAGAGTGGGGTTCTCCATTGGGGTTCAACACGGCGCCCCCTTCTGTCCCGAAGGCTCCGCTCCTTCTCCCTTTACCCAGGCGATGGGAGGGAACTCCCCCCTGCTGCTCCCTCCGCCACGCCGTGCGCGGGTCTCGGTCAGCCTGGTGTTGGTGTGTGAGCCGGAGGGCTTCAGATCGAGAACGTCGGGTGGGGTCAGAGGGCTCCCGGGCGGGGAACATGTCTGTCCCGGGGACTGTTCTCGCCCGCCGCCTGTGCTGCTTGCCGGTTGCGCTCTGCTCCCTGCTCACCGTCCTCTGAACGGTCGTGTCGGCCAGAAGACGTCACGTCGTGGCGGATCCCTTCTCAGCTCCTCGGCTGGCTCCCCGGAGGTCCCTTAGGTTCCGAGTGGGTGATGCCGAGTGTGGGGCCTCCAAGGCTCTCCTTGTCCCCTCTGTTAAAAATAGTTTTACAATTGATTGCCAAAAATATATGCTTGTTATGGAAAAGCTCGAAGCTCGAAGTGAGCAAAACCTCTGTGAGCTGCTGATAGGATTGGCCCTGGCTCCTCCTCACCGTCTCTCTGGCCAGTTTTGGGGTCACACCTTCCAAGCTGTCACACCTACCCTGGCTGCCTGCCCTGCCTTCCCTTCTGGGTTTGCAGGATGGTCAGGGCACCTGGTAGGACTTCTTTGGCCTGAGACAGTGGCCCTGGGCCTGGGGATCTGTACATCAGAACCTCCGATGGGATGTTTCAACCCTACGGACCAGCAATCTGTGGGTCTGAATGGGGGGTGGGATCTTTGATAACGCCCAGGGGAGCCCGAGGCCAGGCCAGGGCTGGGCGCACAGGCTCCGGGCTCCACCTACGTGGACGGCCACGCAATGCTGAGAGGTGTCCAACGTGGGTCGCGTCTTGGAGTCCACACAACGGAGCGTGCTGTGACTCGGAGTGGGGGCGGGGAGAGGCGACTTGAACACATCCCAGGGATGCCTTTGCATCCTGGGCCCCCGCCGGACGCCGGGTCTGCCGCTTGCTTTGAGAAGAGGTTCTGACGGGAGGGACATGAACACAATGGAGGGACATGGCTTCAGGACAAGCCTTTTTCACCCCGCAGCTGCTCCGGAGTGTGCTCAGAGAACCGCAGCTGAGGAGATGCTTTCTACCAGCCCCGGGGGGCCCTGCTCCCTCACCCTGTCCCAGGCGGGCACTGCCCCAAACTGCTCTGTTCCGCTCCTGCCTGTGGGGACTTGAGGAAGGAATCATGGGAAACTCCGGTCGCAGAAAAGGGCCCAGAGCCTGCCTTTCACCCCCGAGCGGCCAGAGGCCAGAGTGAGACTCCTGACCTGCAGCACGGGCTGGACCAGGCTTTGAGTCGCTTGCTCTCACGCGTCCACAGCCGTGTACCTGGGGGCCGGGGAGCGTCAGAGGAATGACATTCGGAAGCGACGTTGGCACTGTCGGACTCCAGCATGTAAAACCGGCTGCTGCCAAGCCAAGGAGCTCGGGGGGGTCCTGCGGGTGGATGATCGTGACTAGTAATTGTTTCTGATCCATGACTTGGCAAACAGACTCCTCCCAAATGTTTTCAGCTGTTGGAAGGAGTCCCTCCAGCCAGCGAGTGTTACGTATGGAAGAGTTTAGCTCTGACCCCGCGTGGGGTTAAGTGGGCGTTCCCGTTGGAGGCCCCGAGGGGTGCTCTGCTCCGGGCCAGCGCTGCTGGTCCTTCTTGCTCCCCGCAACCTGGGAGGGTCAAGCCAGAGCCTCGCCGTGGGCAGGACGGCAGGCCGAGATCCCCCGACCGTGTCTTCCTCTCCCATTCCCGGGGATACTGCGTCCACGTGACTTTTATTTTTATTTTTTTTCTTTTCAGGACAGATTTCTGCGTGCACAAAGATGAACCGTGCGACACCGTTGGTAAGTTCGGAGTCCAAACCGCAGTCGAAGGGGCTGAGGTGTGTGTGTGTGTGTATGTGTGTGTGTGTGTGCGTGCGCGTGTATATATATATGCCTTTGGATCATTCCTGCATTTTCTGTTGCCTCTTTTCTTGTCAAGTGATTCTTTGACTTGATTCTACTTAAAGTTTTGAGGTCGCTTATGGCAGAAGGCATGTAGGCCAAGGGTTAATAAGGAAGAGATGAAATGTCAAACTGGGGGAGGAGCCCCGAGGTACCCCAAATGTAGTCAGGGCGCATTTGTTTCTGAGACTCTTGTCACCAGTGCAGGAGGGGGACCCCGCCGAGGTATGCGGTTGTCACGAGACAGAAGCTTACTGGTTTATTCTCATGTGCCTGGATGGTTATTCGAGGTGTCCGAGGTGACGTGTGACGTTCTCCTCCACCAGGCTTGACACAGGGCTTACTGCTTTCCAGTCCAGTGGTAATACCACCAACACTTCCTGCTGGAAAAACACACTTCCCTCCCTCCCCTTCCCTCCTCCCTCTCCCCAACCCCTCTCCCCTCCTCATTATATCTGGTTTGCTCTTGACTTCTCCTAGGTTTCAAATCGGAACCATTCTTTGAACATCGGGACAGACTGCTTGGTTAACGGGACCCCCAGAGGGTTTGCGATTTGCTGCTGTAGCCCAAACCTTTCTTCCCCAAGAGGTCGAAATACCGCACCACCCGCGGCGAAATTCTGAATCCGATGTACTTAGGATTATAGGGAAATCGAAGGAAAACCGTACGGGACTGAAACCTATAGTCGTGGATTCAAATGCTTAAACCTGTGCTCCCCGTGGGGTCCTCATGGCAGGTCACCCCGAGCCTTCTCTTTGGGTAAACCCGTGTGATCCATAAAATGCTCCCTTCGGCCTACGTGGCTTGTAAGGCCCTTCGAACATCTAGCAAAATGGCAGCGAACAGGAAGTCATTCTTTGTGTGCTGTGCTGTATCAATCCTCTGAGCAAGTCTGAGAGCTGGATGTTCCAAATCGGCCCGCCAGCGTGTGCGTCCTCTGGGGGCTGCCTCCGTAGCGGAGTGACGGGTCAATGCAGTGCCGTGGGCCGCAGTAGAGGGCAGTGGACACACGCCGAGTCTGGGTGGGGTGTCAGTGACTAGTTCACGTTGACCTGTGTCCGCTGGCGGAGCTGCAAGGCAGGGGCTGTCTGGAGGAGCGGCTGCTCCTGCCCAGTGCCCACGAGTCGGCTTGGATGGCCGCCAGGAGGGGCCTCTGCTCCACACCCCTCTTCTCTGAGCTCGTCCCTGTGGAGGCACCGATCTGTCATGTTCCTCTGAGGACCGCACTACAGGGACATGGGCATTTCCTGTGTCTGTCCCTCAGCACCTGCGCGGGGTTTGAAAGGCTTAGTCCATGTGGTTGATGAATGATCAAATGATTGGATGAATGAATGAATGAACAAATGATTGATTGAAAGAATGAATGAGTGAACAATTGAACCAAGGAATGAATGAATGAGTGAATAATTGAATGCGTGATCTATTAAATGAATGAATGAGTGAATGAATGAGTGAATGATCGATCGAATGAATAAGTGATTGAAGTGAATAAATGAGTGATTGAATTGAATGAATGAGTGAATGCATGATTGAAAGAATGAACGATTGAATGAATGGATGATAGATTGAAGAAACAGCTGAATAAATGATTGAACTAATGAATGAGTGAACGAGTGATCAAATGTGTGAATGAATGATTGAATGAATGAATGAATGAGTGATTGACTGGATGAATGAATGATTGGATGACTGGCTGAGTGAATGAGTGATTGATGGAATGAATGAATGATTGGATGACTGGATGAGTGATTGATTGGATGAATGAATGATTGGATGACTGGCTGAGTGAATGAGTGAATGATGGAATGAATGAAGATGCAAGAACTCCCATGTTTCCCGCAGTGAGCTTCTACTTACCTGCTTTTCCTTCATGTGGTTTAGAGCGGGCTTTTATTTATTTTCTTTTGAGTCTATAACTTTCATCTCTGCCCTCCGTTTCGATGATGTCCTGTATTTCAGTGTCGGAAGGAACCCTCCCTAAGTTCCGCTTCTGCCGAGACTCTCTGGGTCCTGTCTCCGCGGGGCTGTGGGCCCCCCCAGCTCTCACCGTGCTGACCGGGCTGTCGGTGCGCACGCAGTCCTGTCCCTGTCCCCACAGTGTTCCGCGGGTCGAGTCCATGAAAATGACTAGATTTGGGGTTTTTTGAAGCCAATTCTACTTAAGACTTCCCCTTCCAAGTCCCCACTGCTTCCCTCTTGTCCAGTTCCATCATGCCCCGATGTTTTCTATTGTCTCCGTCTCCTGGACCCATGGTTACAAAATCAAACAGGACCAAACAGCTGTGCAAGGGCCGCGGCGGGGGTGCCTGGGGGCCATGGGGTGGCCTCTGCTCTCCACCTTGGCTGAGCTGCTGACTAAATGGAAGGGTTCCCGGAGACGGGGCGAGGGGACCGGCCGAGCCCCTGGGGCCCGCGTGCCGGGCTGGTCCGCAGGACTTCCTTTGCCACAGGGCTCCCGTTGCCAAGATAAACATCAGTTTTGAGATCAAGTGGAAACCCCAAGAGGTTTTCATCTTGGAAAAATAAATCCAGAAGTGTTGGGCCAAGAAGTCCTTTTCTTCCACGCCCAGATCTGCACAGGCTGCGTGCGAAGCCGGCGGGGGCGGAGAAGGAAGGGCCTTGGGCGCCCCAGCCCCGCGGCCGGTCACCGGGCACCAGGGGCTCCCGGCGTGTGACCTTGGGCCTGCGCCCTTCCCCGCCCACCCGCAGCACCGCGGAGGGACTTCTGTGCGCCTGCGGTGATGTCAGGATTGAGTACGTGAACAAATCAATGCACAGCGATTGGCGCAGCGCCAGCTGCCTCAGGAAGCCGCCGCTGCGGTTTTATTAGCTGCTCCTAGAAGCTGCCCGGCTGTTGGATGGTCTTCGTTTGGGAAGGTACCTGCCTGATACTTCTAGTCCATCGGCAGTTCTTGCCCACTCGGCCTTCAAAGTACAGTTAGCCCTTGGCCAACACTGCTCAAGGGTGCTGACCCTTGTCGTTCAGGTCAAAATCGGGTTATAACTTTTGACCTTGGGGGATTGGTTCCAGCATCCCCCCCCCCAGATACCCAAATCCAAGGTGCTCAAGGCTCCTGTGCGTCTGTGGGTCCCCAACTGCAGGTTGAAAATACGGAGTGCCGACAGCGTATTGACAAAATCTCCACGTGAATTGCCACACGGTTCGTACCCGTGTTGTTCAAAGGTCAACCGTGTGTTCTTAACCAGACCTCCTTCAGCCACACCTGCATTCCCACCTTAGTTCAGGCCTCTGTCACCCTACCTGCTGGTCCCCCGGCCTCGGTAAGAATGCACAGTCCTGGCCCTGGCCGGTAGCTCAGTCAGTGAGAGTGTCATCCGATGCACCAAGGTTGGGGGTTTGATCCCCAGTCGGGGCACATAAAAGAACCAACCAATGAATACATCAAGAAATGGAACAACAAATCGATATTTCTCTTTAAAATCCATGAAAACACATCCTTGGTTGAGGTTTTTTTTTTTTTTATAAAAAGAGTGGTGTTTCTCTGGGGGCTGACATCCAAAGTGGCTTTTTTTCCTGGGAGACCACGGACAGCGAAATGAATGTTCGCAGCCTCGACCACAGGTCCTGAAATGGAATCAAAACAGGGCCTGTGTGGATGGAACGAGAGGAGCCCGGACATGCTGCCTGCAGGGGCTGGAAGCCCGGTCTGTGTTCTCCCCCATCAGGCGAGAGGAGGGACCCCGTGTGGTGACCCCCAGTTCAACCCCTCCCCATGTTTCCCAGCGCAGGGAGGGAGGGGGTGGCCTGGACAGCGCCTGTGCCCCACCAGCTGGGTTTTGGTTCAGAAGAAAGTGGGCTTGTGGGGAGACCATGCAACCTCTCGCCCCGACTTGATGTTGGCTGACGGGAACCAGACTGTTTGTCCCATGCCTGGTGCTGTTTCCCTTCCCCCCAGGCTCCCAGAGCTCACGCATGTGTCCACACCCAGGACTCGGACATCACCTGTGCCTTTGCGGGGTGACCCAGGTTAGGGGGTGGGAGGGGCTTGCGCCCTGACTGCCCTGCCGGCGGTCCCTGGAGACACCGGCTCCTGTGCCGGTGGGGGCTGTGTTGGCTGTTGGGACAGTGTGTCTTCTGAGATTTGTGACGGACTTTTGGCACTGCCTCTGGCCTGCTGTCCCAGCCCAACCCGGTTTTTCTGCCTACTGGATTCTGACCGGGAATTTCTTCATGACGTAGGTCTTGACTCTCAAGACCATCCAAGTGGGGCGAAGGTCTCCTTGATTCACTTTTGTGAGCCTGTCCAGTTCTGGAGTAAGTACTGCGACTGAGACCGAGGTGTGGGAATTCGAGGTGAAGACCAAGGAAGGAAGGTGACGCCAGACGCTTCTGTGTCTGTGCACAGCCCACATTTGGGCTCAAAAGAAAAAAAACAAACAAACGACGAAGAATGATTACGCGGCATTGACGTGTCTGGGTCCTGCAAGGTCACGCAGTACACTGTGGGCGCGTCCGAGGCCAGAGGTTGCGCACTCAAAGGCCGGGAGAAAGCGGCCAAGAGAAGACCCTTTGGACAAGATTTAATGAGTTGAGGAAAATCTGGCACCCGAGTGACCAAGGCCGTGACCCAAACACCTCTGCCCTGAGCATGCCAGGGGCATGCTGGGAAACGGCTCAGCGTGTGACCCCCGCTCCGGGAGGGCTGTTGCATCCCAGCTCAGAGATCTGCTGGTGAAATAGGTAGAAAATGTGGTTTGATTGCTCGTGGTCCATGCAGAAGGAAGCAAGGACCCCGGCCAGGGCTGAGGGGTGCCGGTCATTCCTGTAAGGAGCAGTCATCGTCTGTGAACTTCCAGTGGCTGGTCCCTGAAGTTAGAAGCCAAGGCACCCTGGGACGTGTCTTTCATGAGATGAGAAAGACCAGGGAGTTAGATG